TGTTAAATTTACAAATCTCATGTTAAATATGTGCATTTTTCAACAAAATATAAACCATAAACACTCACCAATGGCCAGATGCAAGCGGTGGCCAAAGCACTGTAGTCTGACCCACTTGTTGAGTTCGGTAGCTTTTACTACATTAGCGCCGTTGTCTGTTGTAATAGACACTTGTTTCTCTTCTTTCAAGCCCCAGTTTGCTAAAACATCCTGCAGAGCAGTGGCTATGTTTTCACTGGTGTGGGATTCAGGGAAATATGCAACTTCCAGGCAGCGTGTTGTTAGTTCAAGTCTTTGCTGATCAAGTGAACAGTAAAGCTCATGTAGGGTTCGGTGGTGCGACTGGACCACAGGTCCGTGGTGCTAGCGTAAAAGTCCACTTGCTGCAGCTCAGCCAGTCACTACACATACCTCGTACATTTGTGGAATGGCGACTTGGGAGATTTGTGGAATGGCGACTTGGGAGAAGTAATTGCGCGATGGCACTTGGTATCTCCGGTCCACTTCCTTCATTAGATCCAAAAAGCCCTCTTTGCCCACGGTACTAACTGGGATCATGCATTTGGCTACATAACGTGCAACAGCTGCGGTAATAGCTTTGTGGCGCTTCGATGTTTTTTCGTAAGGAGTGACACTGGCAAAACGTTCATTAATGGTTGTCTGTGGATCGTTTTTTTGTAACCTGCCCTCACGTTAGTAGTTTTGGGAGTTTTAGACTTGAAGACATCATATAGGTTTTTGTGGTTCCGCTCCATGTGACTGTGTAGATTTGTTGTGTTTCCTCTCGACGTTGCCACTATTTTCCGACATGACTTGCACAGTACCTGTGTCTGTGCTACGTCTTCTCTCCTGAAGCCGAAATAGTCCCGTATTTCAGAAGTGCTATTCTTTTTGGGCACAAGTTCGTTGTTTTCGTCCTCGCTCATTTTCTCTTCTCCCGCTGCTGCTGCTGTGAGTCACTGTGCGCATTTGGGTCCGCTCTAGCCAATAGGAGAACAGTATCTAGGGGGGTGGATGGCTGGGTGCGTTATTAAGGTCGCGTCTGATTGGTCAAACTCAGATAAACACCAAACATGTGCAACAAACGCATAAAATACTATATGAAAATATTAATTTATCGCACGTCTTTGCGATACGCATATCGCACATACTATTATCGCGATAACGATATTTTTTTGATATATCGTGCAGCCATAATATGTACATGCACATTGAGAGCCAATGTACCAGAGTCAAATTCCTCGTGTGTCCGACACACCTGGCCAGAAAGCTGATTCTGATTCATTACATTTAACAGGGAAATATTGTACTTTTTACTCAGATACACGAATTGTGACGGACATAGTTCTTAGTTTGCATTAGGGCTGCATCTAATGATGTAACAGAGTATTTTATATAATAATGCTGAAGCATTTCCTCCACCGGAGAGCGCACACACACACACTCACACAAGCAATGAACTCTTGCATGCTTTATTCTCAGTTCATACATAGAGTAAGCTTCACAGTCTGCTGAAAGGCATCTATTAAAAACTTTTCATTAAAACCTTTTTATTTTTATATAATCTTTCATGTCCAAGTGTAAATGTCGAACTGATGAGCTTTCTAGCTTTAACACACTGATATTCTGGGTTTAATTTGACATGTCATCTCACCTGAACAATGTACGTACTGTATGTAGGTTTGTGCCGGTGTGTCACTCTGGCAAGGTCTTTAGCCAAAAGTGTTGCACGGTAACCTGATATTTGTTGTAGCAACAGCACACCCTGTCCTCTAAGTGCATGACAGTGCGACCGCAGGAACTGTACATGCATAGACTCCACAGAGACACCCCCCCCCCCCCACACACACACACACACATTTTTTTGATCTATGGAGCAAAGTGAACCTTCCTTCTCTAGGACATGTATCAGAGCTGTGTCTAACCTGATGCCGGCTCTCTCCCCTTCTCCCTACAGCACAACAAGGCAGCGGTGCTGGTTAAAAAAGACATGAAGAAGATGGTCCAGGCACCAGTACTAAGACCCAGGATAGTCGCAGCCAAGCACACCAAGCTGTTTGGAGCTTCCCTGTTTGAGCTGCAAGAAAAAGGCCTGGTGCAGGACGGGGTGCCTCTGGTGGTGCAAAGAATGGTGGAGCATCTCCGCAAGCATGGTGAGCAAAAACACATCAAAATGGAATTGTAATGCTTGATCACCTACACCTTGTTTTTGATGAGTTTGTCAATTTTTAAAATAAAACAATCATTATATATCTAGAAATAATGGCACCATAGTTTTCTCCAGATAAGACAATACATGAATAATAACATTTGCATTAATAACATTTTTAAGCCTTGATTAAATCCCATAAGTACAGTGATATAAATACAACTCCACGTGACTTTATAAAATCATTTTGTGATTTGGTCTAAGTAAGCAATCAGTTTCATTAATGCAATAATCAGAGAACAGTAATCATAACTATTATAGCCTATACTTACCTAGACATATTTTCTGCATTTACTGACTGTATAACAAGAAATGTACTTAGAATGGCACTATACCAATGGTTTTGCACATTTTAGCCCATTTAGCCCCACACCTCAAGCCATGTTTGAATAGATTTTCATACCGTACAGAGACAGAAACTGAAGCCAAATTGTGTCTCAAATGGTAGCAAAACACAATGATATGGTACTTGTTATTGTAGTGTATTTTTTCTGTTTCACCTCTAGATGTTAGTACAAGAACGTTGAACTTGTTCCTCGTGGCTACTGAAATTATAGGCCCTTGATATATGCGAAAGTATTCGGCCCCCTTGAACTTTGCGACCTTTTGCCACATTTCAGGCTTCAAACATAAAGATATAAAACTGTAATTTTTTGTGAAGAATCAACAACAAGTGGGACACAATCATGAAGTGGAATGAAATTTATTGGATATTTCAAACTTTTTTAACAAATAAAAAACTGAATAATTGGGCGTGCAAAATTATTCAGCCCCTTTACTTTCAGTGCAGCAAACTCTCTCCAGAAGTTCAGTGAGGATCTCTGAATGATCCAATGTTGACCTAAATGACTAATGATGATAAATAGAATCCACCTGTGTGTAATCAAGTCTCCGTATAAATGCACCTGCACTGTGATAGTCTCAGAGGTCTGTTTAAAGCGCAGAGAGCATCATGAAGAACAAGGAACACACCAGGCAGGTCCGAGATACTGTTGTGGAGAAGTTTAAAGCCGGATTTGGATACAAAAAGATTTCCCAAGCTTTAAACATCCCAAGGAGCACTGTGCAAGCGATAATATTGAAATGGAAGGAGTATCAGACCACTGCAAATCTACCAAGACCTGGCCGTCCCTCTAAACTTTCAGCTCATACAAGGAGAAGACTGATCAGAGATGCAGCCAAGAGGCCCATGATCACTCTGGATGAACTGCAGAGATCTACAGCTGAGGTGGGAGACTCTGTCCATAGGACAACAATCAGTCGTATACTGCACAAATCTGGCCTTTATGGAAGAGTGGCAAGAAGAAAGCCATTTCTTAAAGATATCCATAAAAAGTGTCGTTTAAAGTTTGCCACAAGCCACCTGGGAGACGCACCAAACATGTGGAAGAAGGTGCTCTGGTCAGATGAAACCAAAATCGAACTTTTTGGCAACAATGCAAAACGTTATGTTTGGCGTAAAAGCAACACAGCTCATCACCCTGAACACACCATCCCCACTGTCAAACATGGTGGTGGCAGCATCATGTTTTGGGCCTGCTTTTCTTCAGCAGGGACCGGGAAGATGGTTAAAATTGATGGGAAGATGGATGGAGCCAAATACAGGACCATTCTGGAAGGAAACCTGATGGAGTCTGCAAAAGACCTGAGACTGGGACGGAGATTTGTCTTCCAACAAGACAATGATCCAAAACATAAAGCAAAATCTACAATGGAATGGTTCACAACTAAACATATCCAGGTGTTAGAATGGCCAAGTCAAAGTCCAGACCTGAATCCAATCGAGAATCTGTGGAAAGAACTGACAACTGCTGTTCACAAACGCTCTCCATCCAACCTCACTGAGCTCGAGCTGTTTTGCAAGGAGGCATGGGCAAAAATTTCAGTCTCTCGATGTGCAAAACTGATAGAGACATACCCCAAGTGACTTACAGCTGTAATCGCAGCAAAAGGTGGCGCTACAACGTATTAACTTAAGGGGGTTGAATAATTTTGCACGCCCAATTTTTCAGTTTTTTTATTTGTTAAAAAAGTTTGACATATCCAATAAATTTCGTTCCACTTCATGATTGTGTCCCACTTGTTGTTGATTCTTCACAAAAAATTACAGTTTTATATCTTTATGTTTGAAGCCTGAAATGTGGCAAAAGGTCGCAAAGTTCAAGGGGGCCGAATACTTTCGCAAGGCACTGAATATATAAACAAATAAACCAAAATCAAATTGAAAAGTTTGGGATATAGATGAACCAGGTGCAATCCGTAAAACATGTTTCTCTAGCACCATCTAGTGGCTGCAATAGAAACCTACAATAACAAGCGGTAACTTAGTGTCCGCAGCTTTTGAAGTTACTGGAAAACAGATGTTCAAACATAAACGAAGGCTACATATCAGTGTTTATTACATTTTCTCATATCTAACATTTCACATTAGTTTAGCGTCACATTAGTGACTAACTTACCAACTCTTCCACTTAATAACGTTACAAAGAGATGCTCAGCTAGCTACATCAGGTAACGTTACACAGTGTTAGAAAATGTTAGCTAACTGTTAGCATGACTTCTGTTTTTTTAATGTAATGTTGCTTTAGCATAGTTTAAACTGGTTATGTAGCTATATGACGTTACTCAAGGAAAAACTGGCAGCAAAGCTAAATGTCCACATCCACATCGTTGTTGAAAAACAATTATTTTCTGAAAAATCCCTCAAACTGCAATAAGTGAAGAAAAAACATAACGGTCGCAGTTTTGCCATTTTTATATTACAGTGGTGTCAAAATGCTCAATTGTCCAGAGGACTCAGAAGAAAAATCTGGGCTTGTTAAAATCAAATCAGATTATATTGTATTTGTTATAAGTTTTGGCCTGATGGTGGTGCTAAGGAAATGTCACCAAAATTAGATAGCTTACCATTTCATGGGAAAATAGACTTGCAGTCAGTGTTATATGAAACATCAAGGAGTCAGAAAAATCACTACAAATCATCCTCTGAATGCAACAATTTCATATTTAATGGAAATGCCTTTGACTTTCCTCCAGCCCTGCATCAGGAGGGTCTGTTCAGAGTAAATGGGAATGTGCGGGCTGTCGAAACCCTGAAACAGCGACTGGAGAGTGACGAAGATGTTGACCTTCTTTCTGAATCAGATACATGTACGGTGGCCAGTTTGCTCAAACAGTATTTCAGGGACTTACCTGCGGGTCTGGTAGATTCAGCAGTCCAGGAAGCGCTGATCCAGCACTACCAGGGTAGGAGAAAATTTATGTTTGTTCTGTTTTGTTCGTTAACACCACCCAATGTGTTTATTTTTAATAGTTACATCCTTATCATGTCATCTAGTATTATCCTATAACTTTAAGGTGTTCAGGTTTTACATATTTACAAGCATCATGTGATACTCATTTTGACCAACATCTCAGTTCTACAATTTGATATTCATACCCCCATTTGGATCATGACTCTGATGGGATGTTAAGCAAATCATTTTTTATTTCATTCCCTGGAATTTGCTAACAGTGCTGCAGTCATCTGCACTAGGCAGTGCCAAGTTAAGTGTGTGTTGAGAGAGATGTGATTAGAAGAGTGATGGACTTCATATTTCTGGCAATACTCTTGGGGGGTCATTAAAGGTGAAGTGAGTCATTTGGCAGGTGAAGCATCTATACTCACTTTTGGCTTTGCTCCATCACTGGGTTGAATGTGTTTAATGGGAGAAGAGTCCATATTTTGGCCGCAGTATTTGTTTTTTCCTCATAGACCACATAAATATCAGCCTATTTTTCAGTGCCTGTGGCCAAACGCTGCATTTGCAAATCACTCTTTGGTGCCAGATTGGCTGTAACTGCTGAGTAAAACGATTTTGGTGTACATAAGCACACACACATTTGTTGTTCCTCATTACATGTTGATTGAAAATAGTTCAGCAATTTCTTTTTTTTCCTCAGTCTTTAGAGTTGTGGGTATATTTTTTGCTGTTACTTAGTAATTAATTTTAAGTAGCTACTCCTAATATTTTAACTAATATAACTCCTTCTTGTCTGCTGTTCCTTTCTGCCTTTTCCCCAGGAGCACAAGATTATGATTTATACAGAACGGTATTAGTATTGATGTTTTGCTGCATGTCATTGTTTAGTCATTTGAAAATCAATAAGTTGTAGCAAAAAAATTATATAAATAGCACTGATGGTATCTTTTATTTTCCATGTAATTCTGTAACAAACAAACATTCAAACAATAGCGTTCAGTGTTTAAGTTTCTCACTTTAAAGTCAATGAATTCTGCAGGTGTCTCACTATGTCCACCTACACCATTGGTCATTCTCTGCAGTGATTTGTACCCTCCCAAAACAATCAATCAATCAATAGATAAATTAATAAATAAACCCCACGCATGCAGCCATGCACATTCTCAGACAGACGTAAGTGCACACTCTTGTGTAGATATAAGCATTCACAATACTTGCATTACTAAGACATTCAGGATCAGTGGCTATATCCGTTTACCCACCTCTGAGCCCATTATGAATCCCAAGTTATAGTATCAACATATTTTCAGGCTCTTTGCTGCAATGCTCATTATTACTAGTTACCACAACTTGAGAGCATATTACAAAGAACAGGTAGACACAACAATCACTTCCCACTCAAGAATGCCTGTAAAAATATTTATTAAACTTACCTAATCAAAGTTAGGTAATACCCTAAAAGTTTATTTATGCTTTACATGTTGTAAACTGCTTCAAGGGAAATGCTGTTAGTTATGTGAATAATTACTGGTTGCTAGAATGTGAATACACTTCAGCACAATGCCAGAATGAGTTTTTCTATAATAACATAACAGCATCGCCTAGCATCCCAGCCTTTCAACCTTTTGACATCTTCTTGTGTGTCTGTAGAGTGTGGTGATGATGACTCTTGGTCAGATATGAGAGACCTGCTCCAGCAGCTTCCAGATGTTCACCACAGTCTCCTCCGCTACCTCTGCCACTTCCTTACCCTTGTTGAGTGCAACCATAAAGACAATCGCATGACTGCCCTCAACCTTGCCACTGTATTTGGACCCAGTGTCTTCCAGTAAGTTTAATCCTTTTTGCATTATTCTGTTGTTTGGCCTCTTGAGATCCCTGCAAAATGCTGCAAACACAACATAAGATATTATCTCCTTATAAAAACAGAAGGAATCTCTAGGGTCATTTTAAAATTACAGAGGTGCATTAGCCAATGGGTCTACCTTCTGTGTGTGTTATTATCATGCTTACAGTCCAAATTCCACTTACCGGGTTAAGACTGAATTATTGCCTCAGTCTGGCATTAGTTTTAATGAATCACGCTCAAGGGCATGGCATGGCATGGCAACTTGACTAGATTAAATTTATAAATATTATAATAGACTAAGTGTATCATCAAAATGTTCAATCATATCAGATTTACTTCATGGTGTTCATATCCTTGAAGAACATAACTGATAGTCTTGAAGGTTTTGACAAGTTTAGCGTCTTCACTGTGTCCTTTCTACTGTGTATGCTGCAGGTTTTACATAACGGTAAGACGGCTTGGTCTGGAAAAAATAGGTAGGCAGACAGTCATGATAACTGATGCTCTCTCTTCTATTTCTGTTCTGTGAATCACATATTAAACATTGGTTTCATATGTCAGAGTAGAAGGATGAAACAGTGATTCCACCCTTATAACACACAGAACATATTGAGCAAGACGGTGAATCTCGAGTCAGTTTGTCTCCACTGTCATTTCAACCTGATTTTGCATAACTGAAGTCAGGAAATGTTTTTTCATGCCGCTGCCAGCCACGGCCAGAGGCATGTTTTTGGGCTGTCCATCCATCTATTGGTTTGTTCCATTGTCATGAATGTGCTTTCTCAGGAAAGCCTTGAGGGTATTTGGCACAAACATCCACTTAGTGACATAGCTCTCTCTCAGTCCTCTGTAAAAAAAATAATTTCCTAAGTGAAGACAGCATATTTCTCACTAGAAATGTTTCACCAGAATCATACATGTTAATACAGTGATAACAGGCAAATGTATACTTAAAAACAGCATTAACATTATGGAGTTCATACATAAGAGCACCAGTCTCTCTGTACTGGTCTCTGTCTCTTTGAAATTGTTTGGCCAGTAGGCGGTGCTCTAGTATAATGAGAGAAGGCAGAAATCGTGACAAGTCTTCTCCTGAAGAATGAAGGGTTTTGATGGACCTTTTGATCTGTAATAACCTCTCAAATCAGATATTTTAGTCTGACATTGCAGTAATCAAAGGTCACACTCTATAGGTTAAGAATACGGTCTGAGTTTATTGAACAGTTTTAAGGTAAATGACATATAGAAAACAGTCCGACCTTAATGTATTTTCAGATGGTACTGTGATGTTCATAAATAAATGATGCAGTCACTGGCTTCATATGCCTCCCAGCAGCTGCTTAGCTATGTACCTCTGTTCTTACAAGGCTATTTGTGATTTTCTGGGCAGTGGGTTCATACTGTGCTCCTACATTTCCCGACTTAAGAGTTGCACTATTCTACAGTCCGGTGACTGGCAGTATTTCCCATAATAAACTGGGGTGTTCAGTCCTGGAACTCTGCATGGAAGATAGATCAGGTCTCACTCGAGAGAACAGAGGAGAAGAAATTGTATTGGATACTCTTTCATGCTGTACAACCTGGCCTCTTAATCAGAGCCTTTATTTGTGTAAGTGTGTGTGCTGAGGTTGCATATTTAGGCCTAGAGCCAAGAGCTGTTCAGGAACAACTCATCAGACATTATACTAACAGGAATAGCTGAATTCTGCTGTGTTATTGCAATCCACTAACTGATGAGTAACTGAATACTTTTCACTTTTAGTGTCAGTATCACAGTTGAATCATAGTTTTTTTTAATTAAGCAGAGAAAAAAATGAATCACAGAAAGTCATTAACTAATTCTCAGCTTAAATATCTACTGCTATGCTAAGGAAACCTCATTTGTTTTTATTGTTTGTTTGTTTTTTTCTTTTTTCCGTCTTTTCCAGTGTGGCTCCTGGTTTGGAAGCAATGAAGGACCAAAATATCTGTAACAATATCATGGCCAAGCTTATCCAGAACTACAGCAGTATCTTTGAGACCGACCAAGAGAAAGAAGGCTGCACAGAAGAAAAATCGACCCTTATCATTGTCAAGGTGGTGTATACTCACTGGTACACCAGATGCTGATGTTTATATGAAGTAGATCTGTGTTGGCAGGTATTACAGTGTAGTGCAGCAGGTAAGAAACCTGTGAGTCACATGTTGTGCCTATGTAGTTTAAACAGTGTGGTTTCCTCCTCTCTGACCTGTGACCTTGCCTTCTATCCATCCATAGCCTCATGGAAACTGCTCCTCCACAGGTGGCTATTTTGAGTGCCTGGTTGTTGACTTACATTTGCTGCTTTGATGGCTGATGTTTTTATTGATTAGCTGGTTTGACTGGTCTGCTGGTTTTCCTGACGACATCTTGTTGCTGGTGAGAAAAATGTGCCTGAAGGACAGAACAGCAACTCATCCCACATGAGCTCAGATTGTCCAATGTGTTTTAAAACATTTTTAGTGTAAGAATTAGTAGAATTTTCTCAGGCTATAAAAGATAATTTAATCCTTAAATTTTTCTGAAAATTTTTAAATGACCAAATATCACAGGATAGCAGCTCTGCAAGGTAAAAGACGTGTAGTTATTTGTTGGTATAAAAGTTATATAAATATTGAGGGAATTCTCTGTATAAATTACTGAAATCAGGCTAGAAACTCCCCACGTGTTTCTAAACTACCATATCCCTAGAAAAAAAAACATCCAGGCCATGCCTTCTGTGTCCTTGATGCTAGCTATGATTGTGGAACATTACCAAATGAATATATGACCCAGAGGGGCCTGATTTGAGCCAAAGGAAAAACAAGCAAATTCAAACAAAGTGCTTTATGCTACGTCTTTGCTAACAAACACACAGACTTTCTCAGTTAGCATAACACATTTGTAAGTTTAAAGACACTAGAAAGTGTTTAGTTTTTATTATAATTAAAGAATTATAATCATTATATATTTCATATACATCATTGCTAAATGTTGTCTAACTTTCTAGTGTTGACATCTTTCACCACAGTCCATAGACAATGGGCCTCGTTCACTGTCTGTAAGAACAATTTTCTTCTTAAAACCTACTCACCCAGTTTTCATAAAGATTTTGGCATTCACCGATGTTTTCTTATCATTAGCAAGAACAGAATCTACGCACACTCAGGAGCACGCTTACGCACATTTGATTTTTATGTCTCGGATATTGTGGAAGCATTTGTTTGTCCAGCACTGTATCTGATATCAGACGTGGGGTAATTGAATGGGCCCTGTGTGCACGCGTGGAGGTATGGTCAGTTGATAGCACACCCAAGAGAGCCATGTATGGCCACAGTGTGCTGGTCCAGCTCCGATAATTCTGGGCAAGCCGGCCCTCCTCCCCCAGTCACCGTCTTTCTTCTGTGTTTGTTTGCTGTTGTTGTTTTTGCCTCAGGTTTGAAACCATTTTTGGAGTCAGGTGCTCCACCATCTATAGATTTTCATTTTAGCATGCCTGGTTTCATGAACTTATAAAGACAATGGGATTCATCATTGTGAGAACACAGGTGTGAACAAACCTGCAGTTTAAGAACATGTTCATGAATCAGACGTAGGCTTTTCTTAGGACCTTAGAACAAATTCAAAACAAATTTAATAAAAAACCTAGAAAGATATTGGTGAATGAGGCCCATTGTCTTGATTTTTGATGACTGTGTTATTTTGAATAGTCCTTCTGCCACGGTGGGGTGAAGTGGCACTGACCACAGTTCCCTGTGAGTTTGTCCTTTCGTCTCTCACAGTACCATTTTTAACTATGCTTACCATGCTAAAAAAACTAACGCTACTGAACATGTCAGTCGTTTTAGAGGTGATCATTTGCAACTTGAGCTCATGAAATCCAAAGGTCCAGATCCCTAGTAGCAATGAAATTAAATCTTGGAGCATTTTGACAACATGGTGTCCTTTTCTCTGATAACGTCTCCGGTCACACATGTCTGTGCTGTGTTGTGAATACCTTTAAAGGTCACATAACCTCGCTGAGCTGTTGGAAACCTTCCAGTCAAAATAAGACAGTCTCATACACAAACATGGACACATACACTCAAGCACTAACACATACAGTATGCATGCACGGCCTGCAGATTATAGTGCTGCTTTTACCTTCAGTCATAAACTGCTGACAAATAGGAGGTGTCCATGAAACTGAGCATGTAAAGACAGTTGATATGTCAACACACATAATTTTACACATATCCAACAAATGCTAATCCAATATCAATTTGCTTATACCTAGTACATGCTTGAATGGAGTAGGAAGAAGTCAGACTTATCCAGTCCTACCCCATGACATCATCTTACCATCAGTGGTTTGCAAGCAGTATCTCTACATAGATAATTATCTTCTACACCACACAAGTAATATACTAAAAAATTTATAACAGAGTGTTAACATTCTTACATAATTATATTCTTAAATAATTCTCTTCTACACCACACAATATACTAAAGAATTATTACAGAGTGTTATCATTCTTATATAATTATATTCTTAAATAACTCTCTTCTACCCACACAAGTAATATACTAAAGAATTATTACAGAGTGTTATCATTCATACACCACACCCACAATGTTCCATCTAATTAATCATTGAGCCTGTTCTTGCATATATCTTGATTGACGCATACCTTTATATTTATATTTAAACTCGTCAATTCCAATTCTAATCTAATTCTGAGTCTGTCTACTGTGAAATGCAGGATGTTAGGGGTCTCGAAAGAAAAGCAGAAGTACAATACACATACCTAGGAGTCCTAACTCCCTGATTTTAAAAATATACTTTATAGCTATTGTATATATGAAGCTACACTACAACAATAAGAACTGGAGAGCAAATCTTCTTGGCCACGATTGTTTTCTTTTGTTGCTCCATCCTATGTAAGACATAGATTACAAATGTGACAGTCTTCCTTGTCCTCTCTATGGTCACAGGAGGTGGATGTGACAGACACAGACACAAAGAAGTCACTGAGCCATTTCAGCGCAAGGATGCCGACACCACCTCTCAGGACAGAAGTGTGTGCTCAGCTTTTCAGTAGCATACCTGCATGTGTGCGTCTTTGTTTATGCTCTTCAGTATACCTGTTATGGAAGCTTGTGCTTGAGTCTGTCTACTGTGAAATGCAGTGTTGTGGTTTATGCCTGACATTCCCAGATCAAACTTTCATAAACTGGTCAGATTCCCTTACATAGACTTTTTAACATCAACCATCTGATCTGTGTGACATGATTGGCATAACATGTTTTGGAAAAGCTGTTTTTAATACACTGTGTTCATCCGGGTGGGTTTCTGTGACCTGTAAGGATGTTATCAGTGTCAGCTGACTTGTGTATACTGCCTGGGATGGTATTTGATGTGAATACATAGATGATGACCTGTTAATTGTATTGTATTACATTACAGTCAACAGTATAAAGCTAACATTACTGTTAACATAATTTTTGTAATAATAGAGATGTTTAAAAATTGCACTATTGAGATTCAGGTAGAAAGTAAAAGTTTGGTTAGTCTGAATTAGAGTTGACAGGGCAAAGGTCATATGCACTGCAGGAGTTTTTTATGTTTATACTTAATTACACTTATACAATTTAGAAATTATTAAATGTCATAGTCAATTTTTAAGAGCAGCTACTGTAGCAAGCCAAATTTAGTCAAAGTATGGATGAAAGGTATAGAAAAAATGTTATTTTGTGCTTTAATTTCTTTTCATAATAATTACATTTTAAAACAATGTCCAGCCAATTGATCAGTATTAACTTGTAGCCCAGCTTTATTTTAGGCAGTTGGCTGTTATGGCTTGTTTAATAGACTCATGGTTGTCTCAGTGAATGCATTAATGCTAAAGGAAGTATTTAAACTGAAACCTTATACTCTTATTTGTTTTTTTTATTATTCTGTTTTCTTTTCTAAGGGTGGACATAAACACCTTCCAGATGCAGACGTTCTGAACAAATCCTCCACTGACCCTCCAAAGGCAAGACCAAGGAAAAAGAAGGTACAGAAAAGTTAGTTAACATCAGTGTGATTCACTGCTCTTGTTTAAGGGCCTGGCCTAATGGTCTCTTTCTCACCATTTTCAGTAAACACTTCTTGGTTTCTTATCTACTGTATTTCCTTGGCGCTGATTAGCCTGAGGTCAGACAGCTTCTGATGCCTGTGGCCTTGCTGCTCAGTCACATGACGCGATTTGATAAAAGCAGTATGCTGCAGGAAACGACCGCATACTTAGGCTGTTGTATACTCTTCCAGTTGTGTTGTCATATTATTACAAATGAGCCCTGTCACAAAAACACCATTTGCCTAAAGATCTGAGCATGGAAAATTTCCTGTTTCAGAAATTGAGGTTTGGATTCATTTATTTATATTAAAAAGGTCATTAGGAGAGCTGCAATAAATTTTGTTGAGTTTTCAACTACTTCTCCTTTGATCTTACTTAAGTACAAAATACAGTACATACAGTACCTTGATATTTGTATACATGATAAAATGATAAATGATTTCTCTAAGGCTGGCTTTAGTTTTCCAACAAAGACTGACTGAAATTATCTTGCTGTGGTTGTTTTCAGGGTAGTTTTAAAAAGGAGATCTGGTAGCATAAATAAATGTGTACATATCAGGACCAGTGTCACTGTAGAGACAAAAGCACTGGGGACTGACAAGAAGATCAGCACAGATAGATAAAAACATATAGTAATGAAGTATGCTTCCTTCACTCAGCAGTAAAAAGCAGCGCTGGAACGTAATTCTTAAGAATGATTTTCAGTGCTGAAAGTTACTTCAACTTTAAGCTCAGAAGGAAGCTCCTCACCCCATTTTTGCTGTTTTGCCTCTCTGTACATAATAGACACTTCATCATCATTTTGCATCATTTTACTGACACCATAAAGATGCAGAATGGTGATTTTCACAACTATAAAATGCTGTGCATTTCATTGTGGGATTGTTAGCAGAAAGTTTAATTCATACCATGGACACTAGTTTTTCGATCCACCGTGGCACATTTGAGGACAACAAACAGTGAATACACTGACACACTCAAGTAAAATGTCAGAGAATAAATGTGGTGTACTATATAGTACATAGTACTGTATGTAGTACTTACTTTAAAAATGGCTTTTACTGTTAATGTCTTGATTTCCTTAATGACTTATCGAGATAATTCATCATCACTATACTGTAAATATTAACTTTTATTGCTACGTTTCCTCTGCTACAGAACCTTTGCTCTCAAGCCCATACTTATAAATTTGGCTCCAGTGCTCAATGTTTCTACAGACAAATGTGGTTTTGAGTGGCTCATCCTTCACATATCACTACCAGAGCTACACTACATGTTTGGCACTATAAGGCTGTCAGTCGCACTGATCCTAATAGTCTATAAATTATACTTTATTTATCTCCCTCTGGTCAGGTCAAGTAGCGAGAAAAACACACACACACACAAACAAACACACCACCTTAATGTACTGTACGGTGCCATAAATATGTCTGCTGTAAATGTTTGTTATGATTCATGTGTGATAAAAGAGGAATTTGTGTTTTTTGAACATGCACAGATGTTTATGTTCATACATGAGCTTTGGAATGCAAAAATTATATAGATATACAAATATTGTTGTAGAATTCATATATCTTCTGTTGCTATGGTAGGAGGACCCCAGAAATATTTGAATACTGAAAACAGCCACTATTTTATATAGTCTAGTTAAGGTGTTCATGGTGGTGGCAAACAAAAACACATATGGCTCAGATTGCACACACACCTCAGAAAAACTAGACTTCTGAGACTGTTTTAACTTTGCTATTTGACACATTATAGTTCTACACAGAATTACACAAGGTGAATAGTGCTGAGTGAATAAGTGTACAATTTTAGTTCACATTTTTCATTAAATTGGTACCTTTTAATAGGTACCTTAAGAAATCAGGGTTTACTTTCAGAGCATTGTTATATTAACGTTTTACTGATTATTCTTATAAACCAAATAACACCTAAACAAGGTACATAATCAGAAAAGCCAAACAGACCAACCAAGATGATAGCACCATGTCACCCGCACTGTTCATTGTCAAAACACCTGTTTCTACTTGGATTCTACTTGTCTATGGTGTCTCTATGTTCTCTCCTTATAGTATAATAAAACAGGCTTCAAACCCTCAGGAAAAAAACAAAGTAATGTTCACATTTGTTTTGTGTTCCCTCTCATTTTTCCTCCTCTGTGGTTTTCTGTGAATAACAAATTTAGACAAATCAGTCACAAAGCCACGATGGGAAAAATCCATGTCAGGTCTTGCTAAAGAAGCTTGTGGAGCTCACCATGTTTCCAGAGATTCACCCATTAAGTGTGCCAATAACTAAATGTCTAAATGGAGGCAGTGTCCATAGATGTTAGAACAACCCATTAAGTTGAACGCTAAATGGAAGTCAGCCCTGCTGACTTTGCTGCCTCATACATCTTTTCACAAGACTCAACTGTGGTTGGTGTTTCTCTGCCCCTCTGTAAAACAGGCAAGGAAAGGGAAGTGTGACTACATGCCTCAAGTTGTCCCTCAGCCCAGCCATTCTACTGGGTTACCCCATGCAAGGCCTCTCCCCATACCAGTAGTTTTGCCCTTGACCTCAGAGCTGAGGAGCCCCAGCCCAGAGGCAATGCAGACAGCTCCCATACCTCTGGCTGGCCAAGTCACCCCAGACATAGACTCCCACCTCAGCGTCAGTCCCTCTGGCAGCACGGAGGCCCCCAGCAGGTCAGTGTGTCTGGTCAAAGAGCATGCAGCCATTTTGTTTTTAAAAATAGTGGTAGATCTGTCTTCATGGCAGATGTTCACTGACATGCAGACATTAGACAGCATGTTGTGAGTTACATCGCTGAAAATTAATTAGTCCACACAGTAGAGTCATGGATTAATATGTTACATTTACATATGCTTTGTGTGTGGTTGTATATTGTTATCTGTCAACCATGATTTAAATAAATAGTTTAAGCTCATCAACAAGCTTGAAATAAAACCTAAGGTCATACACACAAAACAAAACTTCACCACTGCATACATAACATTAATATATTGTTATTATTATTTTAGTATTGTGCGATACCATCCTGCTTACACTGTTTCCAGTGGCACTGTGCGTTTGGCATGCAAACAAACCTATTATAAGAAGCTGAAACTGGAGCCATTTGGTGTTGAGTTTCCTCAGTCCTGGAGAGGCAAGGCTACAGCTCTGTCGGCTACTGGTTTGTGCTGCTACTATGGGATTAACTTTGTCTGTTATCACACCCACACCGTTTGGCTGAAAATCTTGATATCGTATTGTTTAAAACATCCTCTCCAAATTCAGTCTACCTGGAATCACAATTTTAAAATATTAATATATACTGTAGGTCAAATGACTTCTCTGAAACCGACACCGTTTGGCTTAGAGGAAAAATCTACAACATATAATGTATAATGTGTCTAATGTGAAGCAAAGCAATACACATGTGATGTTGAAACGAGACGAGAAATGGTGAGGCTGTTTTGGCTTCTATTACGACGTGTCGAACACACCGGTGACCTTTACTGAGGACTATTCAACTGACACCAAGCTGAACTACCTTTGACAATTGTACACATTTTTAAAAATGCTGAAAAAGCACTGCCTGTCCAGATTGACCAACTTGCCATTGGTAGCTTTCCATTTGCTCAGGGATCAGACCTTTTCCAAGTATCCCTACAAAGCTTCTTGTTATCCCCTCAGTAAGGTAGTGGGTAAGCAGGATTTCCGCTTTTGCAATTCATGGTGGCAGTGACGGCACACATAATTTTAATAGGCTTGCCAGACTGAGCAACACCAGTTAAGAACACGGGTGTATGGGGGGAAAAACACTGGCCATTGTGGCTATAAAAGAATTTGTAAGAGTTGTGTGGTGAGTTACAGCTGAACCTCAAACAAGGCTGAAGGAACACATGCACATTTCTTCTGCACTGTGTAATTTCAAGTTCATGAACTTTGGCCCATTTTGATTCCTGCCTGACTTGAAACCTAAATCCTTTGTTTTGCATTTGTTGAGGTGCTGCCTGAATGGCCAAAGTGGTTTCCCCTCCCCTTGATACGCCTGGCCCTTACAGTAAGCCACATCAAGTACTAAAACATAGTACCAAACATTCACTGAATGGTTCACTCAACAGTTCTTTATTCAGTGTTGTAGAACATCTGAGACCCAACATGTTTACAACCCACAGTCCTGACTAATTGTGGCTTATGACTATTTGATTTTATCAATTTTCTGTTCCTCTGTCAAACAGGACCAGCAAGCTAGAATATTTAGACCCTCTGCTGTTTGCTTCTTTTGATTTTTGTTGAGTAGTACAGGATAGGCAGTGGGGGCAAAACCAAATCTTGCTTAAAATATTTGATTCCCAATCAGCCATTATTTAGAAAATTGTATATAAATCACTCACTCAGCCAACCCAGCAATTAATAAGTAGGGCTGCAACTGACAATTTCATGAGTAATCTGCCAGTTATTTTATTGATGAATCAGTGAATTGTTCTATAAAATGTCAAAAAACTGACAAATGCCCATCATGAAAGTCTTTACATGGTTTGTTGTGTCCAACCAACAGTCAAAAACCTAAAGACATTCAAATTGTATGATATAGTGATATAAAATAAGTAAAAGCTCTAAATGCTGGGACCAGAGAATCTTTGACATTTTTGCACAAAACATCACTGACACAATTAATCAATTATCAAAATGGTAGAAGGTTATTTTTCTGTCAATTTGACAATTTAATTAAACAAAGTAAAAGCTTCTTGTCATTCACTCAATGGTAAATATTTAGTTGCACAGTTGAAATGTAAAAAAAAAAAACTTGGAATGGATTTTACACATATTTGCTGTGATTTGATTTGTTTATTTAACCCAACCTTTTGTTTCTAATTTGTAAATTGAGAGCTCTATTAGATTTCATGGTGTCCTGACAAAGTGTTCTCTTCTCATAGGTAAACTTCCAAATAAAGACCCAATAGGGGGGAAATATCAAGTCACACTGTTTTATTAATAGCAACCCTCTTTGTTTTTTCACATTCATTTAAATTAAAGCATTTAAAGTCCAACTTGCTGCACAGTTCTGCACAGACAAGGTTCTTCAAAATGTATATGCATACATATATATGTATGTATAGGGTTTTGGTTCCAGTATTTGTGTTCCTGCTTTGACTTTGCAGAAGATAATACATTATTCAGCTCTGCTGAGGCAAACATAACTAGGTGATTATGCAATTTTCATCCTGTAAGTACCAGGATATGAAAATGTTAAGCAACATCAACTTTCAGTGCAGGCACAGAGTTCCTCTTATTGTTGCATAATTTCATCATGTGTCACTAGCACAACAGAACAGCACCCATTTCGCTGTCGGTTCATTATAATTACCTGAGAGAAGTTCCAGAAAGGCATTGAACTGTGGCACTCCATGGCTATTATTCCTCAGACAAAAGTCAGCCTTATGCTCCTATTTTCAGTTCCAGTAACATGTAGTAACTGAGAGGTGGCGTACAGTCTGCAATTAATTATGTCTGTTATTTTCATATTTCAGTTCCCAAGAAGAAGACAGGCCAATATCCCCCTTCTACATGAGGTAGGCTTCTTATCTCTGTTTATGAAAGCTGGTAGAAAGTGGTGAGAGTATTGTTTTGGACTGGAGTTGTGAGGGAAGTGTCTGTGTGCTGCCTCAGTTCATTATCACTGGAAAAAATGAACCGCCAATTAGAGGGACAGGAGGGTGGTGTGCACATGCAGTAGTTTCCTCACCACTGTTTGGTTATTGTTGCAGAAGCAGCCGCAACACGTGTTTGAGACACACCATCTAAGCAAAAGCCATTGTGTTTCAGAACAACATCATGGTTATTTGACAGTGAGGGAAGAATAACATCTGGAACTTGAATGATGCTTAAAAATGCAGAGTACTATTTAGTCCCAATATGTATTATTCATTAATATAATATTAATGTATATTATAGCCATAATAACATTATAGGCATTGTGAGCTGGCAGAAACTAATGCAATACATCTTAAATACACTTTCTGATTTTAAAATTTGACATCCAGACTGTTTCCACTTCTGACATTTTATGCATAAAAATTAATGAGATTATCTAAAAATATACTTAAAAACTAGATTTACTGCTTTGCAGTTGTATGCCTCTGCTAACTAGTCAAATTCATGGGTATGAGACAGAAGTGAGGTCACTGGCCTTGACCTTTGACCACCAAAATCTAATCATTTCATTACTGAGTAGAAGTGGATACTTGTACCAAATGTGAAGAAATTCCCTCAACGCATTTCTGAGATATCACGTTCACAAGAATGGGCTGTACAGACGGACGGATGTATGGTCGTAGGTATTAACAGGCTGAAAGCACTGTTGCTAACATTAATTATATAAGAAGCCACTGACACTCTGCAGAGGCTTCCTTTGGTGGACTCCAGCTCCTCATGCTGCTGCTGATGGCTCTTGTTCACTACACTAGCATGACAGAGGTGCTGGGGTAAACATACACCTATGTCACTCATGTTACTATTGTGCTTGGAGAGTACTTACCCTGAAGTAGGACCTAGAAAAGTCTTTCAAAACGGTGTTCTAAGAACCTATTATCATTGTCAGTTCCTGCGGTGCAGACACACAAGAAAGGGGGTGCTTTGTTCAATAGTTCTAAGAACTATGAAAAAGTTCCTCCTGTCTGAAAGCACCTGCTTTTCTTTCTCTGTTGAACTTGCATTCCTTCAGATGCAGAGCCTCTCAGGGTTTTCCCATGGGAGCTTAACCTCAGCCCAGTCAAAATAGATTGTAGACCAGCCTAATTTTCTTCCTACACAGTGCAGTGGATTTAACTGGACTAAGCTTCTGCTGTGGAAACTTTGGAATTGTTTCCCCTGCATTTTTAATGGCTTCAAGACCATTTGACTTTAAATACACAGACACTAACTACAGAAACATATTATTTTGTTCCTACTATTATTTGAAAAGTTAGGTGCTAATTGAAGCAATTATATGAAGTAATCTTTACAATATAGTAACACTACTACTTTTAGAAATCACATTCAGCGGGACAAAATAACACAATAGCACAGTTAAATGAGTATTTTGCATTTTTCAAATAAACCAGACATTGTCATTATGTTTCTTACAGGGATTGTTGGAGATTTTAGAAAACAGACTGGGCTAGCTGGTTCCCCCAGGTTTCCAGTTTTTGTGCTAAGCTAACAGAGTTAGCTGTAACTCTGAGCAAGAATGCAGATAAGTGTATATACAGTAGCAGCCAAATGTTTGGACACATTATCTCATTAAAGTTTTCTTTTTTCCAGTGATGTTGATTGATGTACTAATTAAGACATTAAAACTATATATAACATGAGATTAATCATGTGCAATATGGAATTATGTAATAAGCAAAAAAAGAGTTCTTATTCAGCTTTGCTTTTTTAAATATCCCTCTTCGAAGGGTAAAGTTGGATAATAGTCATCCCTGTCATATAAATAAACAGACATAACTTTATTGCTTCCATAAAGTTTTTACACAAGCACTGTTGCACAGAATCACCAATCAGTTCTTGATATGGTTGGAGTTATAGTTTTATATTTTTAGAATGTGTTTGTGCTGAAGAACAGATTGTACATTTGGCTCACTCCTCTTCAGGTGGTGATATCTTCATTATGTTTTTGATGCAGTGACTCATCCCTCTTGACCTCTGGTCTCTTTCATCAGTAGGTTATGACTCATGTATTGACCATCGTCTCATACCAGACTGGGTTCAGACTGTTGCGGCGTTAGTTAAAACTAACACAGTAGTACAAAGTTATTTTGGGGCAGTGACGCCACTTCCTTTGGTGAATTACCAAATTGTTACACTTCTTCTATACTGTGCCAACCTGAAAACTGTTTGGGATCATGCTAGATGCCAGAAGATTTAATTACCAAATATTTTACACTTGACACTTACAGTCAGTCTCGCTCAGCTGTTCATTTCATCAACACCCTAAATGTGGCGCCAGCAGGCATGTAAGTGGGTTTAATGTTACAAACCAATATAGATAGTAGATGTTTCCCCAAACAAAATCTGTGTATTTTAGAAAGTCATGAAAACGAACAGTACAGTGCACCATATAAGGAGGTTTTATTACTTTTATCCAATCTAGTTTTCATTCAGTGTTTTTAAGGTGGAAGACATGGTTGACAGTTACAAAAATGTTCAAAAGGCTCCATCTGCTTTCACCATTTTTTAGCAGAATCAAATTGATCAGCCATTTATCTGGATACTTTCATAATTTTGAATCTGGTGGTGAATATAACTGTTTTATAGCAGTCCTCCCTAACAAGTAGGCCAGTCTTCCTTTAGGGCCCAATGATGCATAAGAGAGGTTACAAGAAAATATAGTGTATAAAAAAACAAAAAAAGGAAAATGCATTTCTTTCACACAAAAATCTGTTTATTGATGGTTTAGAAAATGTAAATAAAAAGGTGCCCTTCTACATTTAAATGAAGCAATCTAAAAGGTATAAACCACAAGTACAGTAGACTACTTTGTTCAGTGCTAAAACCGCTGCACAGAGCACGGTAAGCTTGAGCTGTTAGGCGGGGTGCTGTAAATATTTGTCAAAGTAAGATAACTATCTTCCTCGGGCACATATTGCCAACTTTGGAGATAGTCCTAGAAAGTTGGAGACTGATCTAAAATCTTTTGTCATATTTCTGGCCTTACCATGTCCACTGCAGTTGATGCAGTTGTACGTCTGACATTTGCAGGCATTAAAGACTAAAATGTTGCATACAGTGCCAGATCTTTTATTAGATAGTTGTCTTAAATCTTATCCCAGTGTGGCCAGGCATAGACCGGTTTAGTCTGGTGTCTCTGGAGCACACATGAACCACAGCTGACTGAACTTTCTTTCCTTGGTCTCCCTCCTTATCATCCAGCTCTCTGAATAAATGAAACTTAACTTAAAGGTGAACTATCTCTCTAGTTTTTGTGTGGTAAAAATGTTTATTTTGGTAATTTTAGCCATGAGCACTAACATTAAAACTGGTAATAACCTGCACCAGATATTTACAACCCCATGTTTATGATTTGACTTTGTTATACCCATCAAAATAATCATTGGCTTATCACACAGTAGGGTGTGTCCTCATTTTGTCTGATCCAGGATCCTTTGCTAATATCAGCACATGTCCAATCCCTTTTACACACTCACCTTCAAATCATACCATCACTCCATTATCTCTCCCTTGCACAGAGCCTGTGCCAAGCTTCGCTTTTACTGTCAACACTGTTAAAGAAAGATTTTTTTTTTTTCAGGCCACTCCTACATGTGCTGAGATAGCTGTACTTTGGGAAAAGCAGACAGGACATCTATCAGTTGGTGAGCCCTACAGGGGCTTTGTGAGGAGTAGAAGTGCAGATCATGTTATTGGGTCCTCTAATGCAACTAACAACTTACAGTATTTTAATTGACAATCAACCAAACTATTACTTCTTGTTTAATGCTGCCTCCTGATTCTGTGTAATCACAATTATATATGTATATATATCTAGATGTAAGTATGTTTTAGACCGCCTTTCTGTGTTTTACAATGAATCATAGTTGCTGGCTACTTGTACTCAGCTGAAGCTCACACTCACTCATGCACACTAGATGCCTTCATCACCTAGGGACAGAACCAGAGCCCAGGGGATTTTCAGCGTTGCTCAGTGATCTGTTGTGACCACCTGTTTCTGTAGCAGCAACTCACCTTCTTGTTTTTCTTTCAGTAACCACCTCTTCCCTGTCTACTGCAGACCAGATGTGGCCAAGTAAGTGTGCTTTTCTTACATAAAAAGCAGTGTAGTGCTGCTCTCGGAATTAACCAATTTACAGTTTTTATCCAGAGAAAAACATAATGAATTATCAGAGCATAACATACACTTTTTCTTTCCTGTGCCATACAGTTTTGTGAACAGAACAATACGTTCAACTGTGGAGCAGCACCTCTTTGATGTAAAACCTCTGCTGGATCATGGTTCAGAGGACTGTGATTTGGCCCCATGTCCACCAGCTCCAAAGGTGGCACCAACTGCGCGACAGAGACGTCGACTTCAGAGAGAGCAGCAGGAAGAGGGCCTAAAACACAAAGACACAAAAAGGTACAATGGCTCTTGCATCGTCATGACGCTGGTAGTTGATGCTACATTTGTGAAATTAGTGGCAGTTTGTCTTTAGTATCAGTAACATTAGTAGTAACATTTTTTTCATCACTGTCATTGTGTACCTAAAGTCTTATTTTTTCACAATAAATTTGAAGAAATCTGCTTATATAAAATGAATAATTTAACATTTCCGGTGTAAATCTAAGTCAGGTTTAATGTTTCTTCATTATATTGTAGGAAACTTCCCAGTTCTTTGCTTACTTTTAGAAATTGCATTACAAAATTATTTTTACAAGAATTCTTATTGGAAATGTATAATCAGTTATACAGCAAGAGTATACTACAAAAAGGTAACAACAAAAACAGATATGGACAGAATAAGGGGGGTTTTAATAATAACAGACTGACAAAAAATGATACAATATTTTTTTTGGCACTGTAACTGGTACATCAAGTTAAGATGCCACTCTTACTAAAGTCGGACGTCAGTGTCTCACTGCAATGCTGCTGCTTCCATGTGGTGTTTTGGTAACAGTGAACATTCTTAAGGTTTCATTCTGTATTGTAAGCTCTTCCACTGAGGCGCACCACAGTCATAACAACTGGAGTCATTGCAGTAAGAAGCTAATCCTTGTTGATAGAAACCCAGTGGAGACAGAGAGATCAGTGACACATGGATTAAAAGAGTGCATTAGTCCAGAGACAGCAGAAAGTGTCATTAAGAGCATGGCCCGTAAACAGATGGTAAATAGAATTAGCAAAAAAAAGCTAAACAGCGCATTGGCTTCTTGAGAAGGTGTAAGTAAGTGAGGTGTCAGGATGACCTTGGCATTTAGCCTTCTGAAGTATTTCACTTAGTGCTTATCAGGCTGATAAAGAGAGACCAAAGTGTGCTGTAGACAGAGTCGGATGGACAGCAGATGTCTCATTTCCTCACCCTTTTCTGTTCTGATTGATAGCAGAGCTGCTTCCATCCGGGCAGACAAGGAGAACATCCTGGCAAGCAGTGGAAGAAGTTCACCCAGCACAGGGGAGGACACAGGCACTAGTGCACACTCACAGGGAGGCCAGAGTGGTCACACTGAGCGAACCCCAAAATCCAGGAAATCAAAACATAGCCCTACTCTGGTGCAGCTCACTGACAACCAGGACGACCATGCAGTGAGTCATAATGTTTGTTCTCCTTGTTTCTTCTTGCAGTATCCTTGTGTTTTTTCATCCACTCCTCTTACCATCATAGGCCAGTCACAGGTGAAGGTGAATAGATAACCTTAAGAAAGCCGGTTTCTTTCAGTTGTTTAAAACATTATGTACTTTTAGATTGCAGTTCATTCTGAAATTGCTGCCAGTTTTACATATTAGAAATACATTTTACAACAGTTTCCAGGGCTGTTATCTTGAACCAGCATTACCACATTCACAGATCTTATCTAATGTACACATACGTCATTACAGCATTCGTCCTTGTTTTTGACTCACTGTAAATATTTATGAGTTGAAGTTAATAAGAATAACTAAATGGAGGCAAGTTGGAAGATGACAGGAAGCAGGGCAGCTGTTTAACGGCTCCCTGCTTTTCTCATTGTACAGCGGGTTGTAATATGGAGCGCCCACAGTGTTTTGCAAGAAGCAGTGCAAATGCAAGGGCCCGTTATGAGTGCTCAGTTAGCTGCAGCTTTTATCTGCTGGAGATGATGCTCCATTCACTGATGCTCCATTCACTTGTTCTTGAGAGCACAATGTTCCGGGTGCTGTTCAGTAATTGTATCCTGTCGAGGGGAAATTAATCAGAAACAGTAAAGTACTTCTTCAATGTTGAATGTTACTTTGATAATAGATTTTACTTTTTATTTCTGAATCCTTAGAGGTTTTAACGTCTATAACTGGCGTGTTATAGTAACTTCTACTAATTGGAAAATATGTCAATATACAGATTGTACATATATACAGTACACCACAAGATGGTAGATATTTGTCAACAGGAAGAGATTTTGCTAGACTGTTTCCAGTTAGGTACCTCATTCATGCCTCTGGCTGTATTATGTGGTTGAAAACATATTTAGAGGATTTTTACCTCAATGTGATGAAATACCTTGGTTTGAAACAGATGCTTCTATCAGATCATCATCAGATTCTCATACGGCTTTTGGACTGTTGTTTAGAAAAACCGAGCAATTTATATTGATCAAGCAATTAATTAGTTAATAGAGAAACCAGCAGATTAATTTATAATAAAAGTGATCATTAGTTGCAGCCCTAATGTGTGTTATTATTGAACACATTCAAACCAATCAACCCTAAATATTTCTTATAATATGAGACCAGATTTTGTTCATATTGCCTACCCCTTGCTTGTTCTACAGTATAGCTCAGCATTTAGTTTAAGAGTACCATAGCAATCAGATAATAACATACATGGTCAGTTATCTCGACAGTGCTTTAGTGCAGAGAGGAATGCGGAATGTGTGGAAGCAGCCGATGGAATGAGGAGGACATGGTGTAAAGCATACACCACCAGTCAAAGGTGTGGACACACTTTCTAATTGAATTTAATAGAAAAGTGTGTCCACACCTTTGACTGGTGGTGTATAGCTGTTGTAACATGATCTGGTCTCTACAGACTCTACAGCTGCATTATTTTATTATTCACATTTGGCTCCTAAATGATACGTGTTAAGGTAGAATTCAGCTGCATGGAAAGATGCTCCACAGCTGATGGAAACTGATGGAAACACATTTTTTGAGTTTACACTCTTAATACTCTGGTAAATCCTAGGCCGCTGGGCTGATTTATGTTTTTGCATCTCATGCCAACCTGTTATGTAACGGAACAGATGATACATAATTCCCTGACACACACATGGTATTGTATATATGTGATCGCTGGCACAGCATAGCTGGCTGACTGCAGAAGGTCTTTGTCTCTGTTGTAGTGAACAGCCATCTCTGTGAATGTGAGCTTGTTTGAAAGCCTCTTGTGTGTCATCCCCTGTGTTGTTCATAGTAAAACAGCACAACACGATACAATATATTCAGTGCTGTTGGTTCAGTGTGAACTTTTTGACAAATTTTAGCCATCAGATAGTTTTTACATTTATATTAAAGATACATTTTTATGCTAATACAGTTCATGCAAAATTACTGTAATGTTTGTAAATTCCAGCACACTTTCAAATCTTATTGTAAATTTATTTATAGCTCCAAACACCTCCAATATCATGAATTTTAAAGATGATAAACTAAATGATTGATCAAGGCCCATTTATTTAGATAATTAACATTTGAAGTGCGTACATCTTTTTCTAGCTAGAGGAATGTGTTGGTGACACACCTGGAACATACCGCATGAACACGTTTAAGAAAAGGTAAGCACTTCATGGTCTCCATTTGAACCCTTTAGGGTTTCTTATGTTGCTACAGTTGTTTTCCCCTACTTTTACCTTTTTCATATAAACACCCAAGTTGTACCACCTGTTGCCTAAGTGTTAGTTTCACTGCTGAGCTACTGGTTGCCACTAGCTGTTCTGTCTATATTGTTACCTTAAGATGGCTGTATGAGATACATTTTTGGATTTGGTTTGAAAAAACATTGTGCAATCGGTTAAAACATATTTACAGATGTGGTAACTGATCTTATTTTTCAGAAATAACATTACAAGAAAAGATGACAACCTTCCTTCTCCACAGGTAGGTTCAAGTTCACAGTTCTTTCCCTGTGACTCTTTCTCTCTGTCTGTTAGGTTGTAGGTTTTTTTTTTTAGCTCCCCCCCTTCCTCTTTCATGTGCCACTGGAGAATATTAGTCTTAGAGTGTAGGGAGAAAAATATGGAAGAAAGGGAAGGACTGGTTATTGAACCTCAAACTCTTTTGGTACTGAAATGTGACTATGACTGAAATGTGTCAGCAGCAGTTTTGGAAAAACTGCCAACTAGCCAAACCATCAAATGTGAGAAAGTATAGAAAGGATATTGTTTTGGTTTTAGCACTTAGTAGAAAATTAATGTATTAAATTAAATTCAGCAGCGAGACCATACATATTGCTTTACTTAGGACACAAACTTGCATTATATGGAAGTAAGGGTTAGGGTTAGGGTTAGGTATGTGTGAGCAGAAGGAAACAAAACACCTTCTCCATCTGCTCTAGCTTTCCTCTGGACCAGCACCACTGAACAGAATTATGCAGCACTGATCCAATATGGTGACTTTTTCTACACAGTCCAGATGGATTTTAGTAGCAGCTCAGGTTGCAGCTCTGCCACTAGCACCATACTGTGCCACTAAGCGACCATCTGGAGCCGGCGTGGTGCAGCAGCCTCTCAGCTAATGCCCAGGTTACAACACAAGCATCACACAGATGTGATTGTTACCATCAGGCCTGTGTTGTCTTCCTCTGAGCTGCGGTTAGTTAACTTAGTTAAAATAATCAATAGACTGACCCTGTCTGTACAATGACCTGTATCACCGCAGTTGATTCTCAAATGTTTATACAGTATGGCTTGAGTGCTTATGAGTACAGATATATAGACATTTACTACCTAGCATATCAGTAGAGCAATTATTATTAATTATTAAGTCTTCAATCAATCAACCAATGCAAAATGCAATGTGTGCATTTGTTGCTTTAGTCCTTTTGTGTTAGTGCGAATGGAACACATTTGGTTTTGGTCAGACAAAATTAAACATTAACATTTTATAGGCTAAACAGTTAATAAATTAGTTGCAAAAATAATCAGCACATTAATTGATAATGAAAACATTGCTTTCTCCTACTCCATTTCACACCTTTTTTATTTTTAAACACACAAGCCCTTAACCTTGATGTACTGCTGAAGTACTTGTCATAATTGATCATGACTTGTTGTAGCTTGAGTCCCTGTAAACTGACAACACATCGACCTCCACTGCCAGAACATATTCCACTTCTTAGGAAACCGATGGTGGGCAGTGAGATCTGCAGTGTTGTAAACCAGTTCATGTGTAATAGAATAATTTGTAGCAGCTCATATTCACAGTGACGGCTGCTCACTACCATAAATAATTAGGGCTTTTTACTTTCTGCTAGGTTGCTCTTTATGTTGCTCAGAGAGACACTGAGCATCAGAACAAGTCTGTAATTGTGAGCACAGATTTGTCTTCATTTTGAGCAGAAACTGGCAATGCACTGACGTCTCACCTCTGCTAACCTTCATGTATTATTTCTTTTTCACACAAGGCTGTTTGCTTGTGTTTAGACCTGTAGCGAGCTCTACCACAGATAAATCATGTGGGAGAGCAAAAAGAAAACAGAGATGCCGCACAGGAAGCTTTGAACTTTGAAATCCTCCACCGTGTGTGTGCTCACGCACACATGCACATGCATGTCCAAGGTTATCTGCTTGGCTGTGCGCCAACTTAGCAAAATGGCCCTTAAATTCTGCTATGTGTTTGTTTATACACTATTTTTGTGAGCTCCCCAAACAAACACAGTTTAATCATTGCCTAATGCAGCCGCTCATCCTGTCACCCCCACCACCACACACACATTGTACCTCTGTCTTTCTTGCCCCTCCTTTGTTCCAGCTGGACCTCTCATGATCATGTAATCATGGTTCAAGTGTGTCTCAGTGAACACAGGATGTTCTGGGAAACAGTGAGCAGTGAGTGTGTGTGTGTGTGTGTGTGTGTGTGTGTGTGTGTGTGTGTGTGTGTGTGTGTGTGCTCATACTGTACATTTGAACACATCTGGACCTCAGTGAGCTGCAACATCCGTGCTCCTATTAATCTACTTGAACCATCTTGAAGTGATGCTACACTGATGCCTGATGCCAATGATTCTGCTGCTGATTACTGTCAGCTGATTGATAAATCAGTTAAAACAAGGAAGATAAACTAATTATTGAAGTTAAAGTCTTTCAGGCTGCCTTTAATGGCTCTTAAGCATATAAAAGGATGTGACAACTACAGTGATACCAGTATTGTGCCTTGCCACAGAAAATTTGAAAAACTTGATGATCAGAATTTATCAGGCTACTTGATAAGAGGCTACTTTTATGTAAATTAATTGATTGTTGATTGATTAGTCTTAAGTAACTTTGAAACTGCAAACACCATAATGAGTTATTCCTGATTAACTCTGATAAGGTGCTAATTTGCACACAACTAAAATGACTGATGATTAATGATTTCCTTTAGCTGCTTTAGTTTGTGTGGCTCACATAATACCCCTCTGTCTCCCTCTGCACATTTCCTGTCTCTCTGCACCATTAGCTGTCAAATAAAGGCAAAATATCAAAAAAGGTTAAGACAGTTACGCATTAAAGACCAATGAAAATTCACCATTAGTTCATTAATGACACCAACCACAGAGTCAAACAAAATATAGTAATCATATTCAGAGAACATGTATTAATATTCACATCCATGTGAGATAGGAATCATTGCTCTTGCAGTTTTTCAGCATCTAAACAGTATTCTAGTGATAAGTTAGTTAATGCTGTAGGCCCTCTAACTTTGCATCAAAGATCTTTTTTTTAAAGTGATGCCTGAGGTGGATGTGGTGGTGTCAGGTCATACAGACCCCCCAAAAATGTGTGTTCACAAGTAAGTGGTTTGAACTGATCCAGACTGATCCAGCCTGGTAGTATCGACCATGATTCTATTAACCAGTTTATGTTAATGAAATCATGGAAGTATATTTAACTTTTTAAAGTAACACTTACACACATATTTTTAATATGTATGTTGTAGTGTCAGTACTCAGTGATTTTTCCATCACTGGTCTAATTTTTGTGTACCTTTTTTATGAAATGTTACTGTTGTTTGTTGTTTTTTATTTGCTTTTGTGCACACTCTGTCTAGACGGTGATACAACTGAACATGCCATCCTCTGGATTGTTGTTTAAAGGATTATATGTGTGCGTTGATGGTAAGGGGATCGTGATTGTTGATTAAATGAGGGAGTGCAGTATGTACCCAGGTCATGTTGGGCCTGACGGTGGAGTTTCATGACTCAGAAACAGTGACTGTAAAAGCTAAGGAGAGGGAATTTCTGCTGGTAGTTGGTCACAGGCTGCACGTTCTCACTGGGTACTAAAACCGCATCATCATATCCTGTGTGACTCACATCGCATTCCAAGTTATTTCCCATGTAACAGCTGAGGAGTCTTGATAACACTTAAGCATAAGAACACACACACACACACGTATCTGTGGCTAATTATGCTGTTACACCAACAACGGCTTAATATTGCTAACAGAAAACTAAACCAGGGCTGTTATAACCAGATAGAACTACACCTCCTCCTGAAAACCATGTGTAGGATTCATGGGGCCTAGTGGCAGTGTGTCTTAATCTGTTTTGCCTAAAAATAGTTGGTCCCACGCCCAGACAAAGGAAATACTACCCCATGGGCTTAGTGCTAAGTGATCCATGGACATGTTCTAAATAGTTAACTAGCTAAATATGTGGTTTTCCAGATTGTTATACCACAATTTTATTACACAGCTTTGATCCTTTAAGTTAAGTGGAGTTTGAGAAACTTTGAGATAAGGGCGAGAGAGGAGAAGCTCACAGATGAAAAATAAAAATGGGAGAAACTAGAATAAATGAATCGCTGGCTGAGGAGCTGTGCATATAGTATCTTTGCTCTGAGCTGAGTGTTTGTCTGCAGGGACAAATTACCCAGTCTATGTACGTGTGCTGGTGCACAATCTGTCTGCTTTCATTTTTTTTTTTTTTTTTTTTTGTCCTTAACTCCCTCCCCTTCTTCCTCCCTCACTAACACCCCTCCCTTCTGCTCTTGCTGCTGTGAAACAAACAAGTCTAGAGCAGTGCTCATGTGGGGAACGTGCATGTCGGGCAAGAGAGACAGCGAGGCGGACTACCGTAGAGACAAGAGAACCAGAGAGGCAGGGGTGAGGGATTCCAGGGGGTGAAAGATGAGGCGGAGCTAATCCACGTCTGCTCTCTTACACACAGCCAAAGACAGATGGGTGGATGCTTTGGCCAGCCAATCGCAGCAGGGAGCAGCCCCCTCTGTTAGGGCAGGGCCAGTCAGAGGGAGTGTGTGGCTCAACTTAAAGAGTGTGGTCACAGGCTGGTCATCATCTTTTGAGTGGCCTTTTCTTCTCTCATGGTTCTACAGACGTTAAGGATGAAGATCCAGGAGTCGCCTGTCACTTGTGACACAGGGAGGGTCGGCAGTGGAGAGGTGCGAGGCTCGGATCCAGACTGCGAGAAGACAAGCTGTGAGGACATGCCTCGGCTGGACCTGACAGCACTGACCGAGGACAACAACTGGGAAGGTGAGGGTGGAGGCCGTCCTACTGCTGTTTTCATGGTTTGATTTTTTTTTTTCTTACATGCAGGACCTTATAATGCAAGACCTAATCCAGAATACACGCCCTTTTTTTTATATAAACATACACTTACTCAGGCAAGTCACACTCTGTCCTCCACGCAGCTCTGCACATGGGTGTCTGGGGAGCAGCTGCACACCTTCTGCTGCCTCTCTTTCACCCGATGGAGTTCCTTGTGCCTTTCCCGCAGGGTTTAATTGTTAAAGATCCTCTTAAGTTCTCTAGCCATCTCTATGGAGGAGAAACGCTCACTGCTTGTTTGCTCAGTTGGCAAGATAAGGCAGCATTGCAGACAGTCTGTTGATTTATCTCAAGAGAAAATATGAAGGCGTAGCTACGTTCAGTTGTGGCTTTATTTAAAGAGCGTCACTTACTTGACAAGTTGTGTGACTGAATTGCATCCAGACTGAGCGGCTGCTGTGTTCCCAGTCACAAATCAATCATTACAGAGGAGGTTGCACGATGGTAACAGTGTACCAGTCAACCAGCGGTGGCAACTCTGTTTGCATATGGAGGGTTTTATTGATCCACTATGAAATTTTCATGCTTATCCTCCATTTTAAAAGTTGGATTAAATTTCTGAGCTGCTTGTGTTTGCTCTGCCACTCCAAGAATGGTGATGGTCGTGTTTGTGCATTTATTAGCAGCTTTGCATAAGATTGAATTTAATTGCAACTGATATAAATGTTAATTTAATTTATTGATGCTGCTTTATCAAGTGTCATTAGTAATGCAGAGTTTGCAGAAGGAGCCATTGCATTATTCATTGTGTTTCTTCCACCTCTTATTTGCTGCGTTTGTTTATGCAGCGTTGGTGCTTGTGCGTGAAGGAAATTGTGCACAGTCGCCATGCACTGAGTGTGACTGTTTTGTTAGGATATTGTGACAGCAGAGGCAGGTGGATAAACTAGTGTGTTGAGCAATGAAGCCGAGCATTTTTGCTGAACTGTACGCTGGAATGATAACTAATGGATTTATTTCTACGGTCAGATACAGCTAAAGGACATGTTGCAGCATGTGTTGATATCTTTCCACTGTTGGCCTTCACCCCCACTGCCAGCACTGTTTCCTGTTTGAGGTTAAAATCGTTCCATGCAATAAATCTCTCGACTTCAACAGCGTCATGTTTAGAGCATTAGCAGGCAGCACATGTTTTGTGGAGCTCTCTAGTGGCCAAATATGATAAATGAAAAACAACTGAGGTCTGTGAGAGTTTGTTGTTGTTGTTGTTATCATGTTAAATAGTGAAATATTATGCCTGAGCTAACAAAATATTACCATACTTTAGTCTGCCTAAAGATGTAGTGTTTGTTTATCTGGCTCTCTGCGTCAAGTGCGTGGTGTCAGTGATTGTGTGTGCGAGAAATTAAGATTGTAATTTGCATTGAGGGAGAAGGTGGAAGAGATTAGCTGTTTGTTCAGGAAATGTACACTGCAGATGGCTGTTTTATGAGGACATCAAGAGATTTTGTACTTTATCACTTGCTTCTTTTTTTTTGTTTTGTTATGTTTTGTTTTCTTGCCATTTTCCCTTTTTAAAATGTCCTCCTTTTACATTCTGTCCTGAATACATAACTAAGCTAATGGCAACAAGGGAGCCACAGGGAGTCTGCACGATTGACTGTGACAGGCCATTCAGACATGCAGTGTCAACAAGAGAAACGAGCAGGGCTCGTCATAACATGATTTGCAGTTGTATAAATGTATTCTGCAAAGTTGAACTATGAGGGGGTTTTTTTGTCTGTGAAGCTGGCATGTTTATTCTTCATTAGGGAGATTTAAATGGGGATTTATGTTCTGGCAAAATGAGTCTGACTGATCCAGCAGAAAGTGCCACAAGGGTTGTAAGTACTGTTAGGGAATGTCTGCACAAGCATAAACTTTATTGCCAAGTATTATCAAAAATACAAGGAATTTGACTCCAGCACAATAGCCCCCGATGTGCACAGCAATTTAAAACAGAGTAAAATCAGAACCACAAGAAAGAAAACAAAACCAAAATGTACACACATAGATATATATAAGTTAAAAGAGCTAGTGTAGCTAATGTACATCTGTATATTGTTGCACAGTGATGTGCACAGCGATGTTCATAAGAGATGGCCTGGGAGAAAACTGTCTCTGTCTAGATGTTTTGGCGTACAGTGACCTGTAGCGCCGTCCAGAAGGGAGGACAGAATGCTGTAAGACTGTACACATGGACATGCAGGTGGATGAGGGCATTAAACAATGGTGCGTGACCTTTGTCCCCGTACGGTTTGTACCCATGCTCATCATGATGACCTGATATTTGCTGCTTTGTTTCTGCCTGTCTCAAGATATCTGTGAAGATGTTAACAGATATCTGAACAGGAAGAGCCGCTCCCTGGACGCACACGTCTTGTGAGTTCATTAGGGAGATGCAGGGTTATTTTGATGCCCCGTTTATTGCAATAAAGAGGATGCATGCTGATCCTTTCTTTTTCTTCTATTCGTTTTCATTGCTTCATTTTGTCCTCCTCTTCTCCCCCTTTTTTTTCTTTCATTCATTTAGATACTCCATACTTGAACACCCCTTTCCTTGATTTCAAAAGCATTTTCCACCCATGTTGTTGTGATGGTAAGTGTTATGTAACATCACCCTCAGTGCTGACTTGCTGCAAATAACGTGTCCAAGAGAAAGAAAGAAAAGCTTGTCTGAATGACCTTTTCCTCTGCATGGCAACACGTCGAATGATCTGGATCACTGTGGCTGAGCATCACACTCACATCAACCTTTACTAAAATGGCAAAGTGGCCAGTGGCAAACTCGTTTCATTAGTCGATCCTGAACCATTAGAGAGCGGTTGATTTAGAGGATTAATTTCGAATTCCATGGAGCATGGCCACCCTGAGCTAGATAATAGACCTCATATGACGAAGTTAGGTGTGACTGAGTGTTTCACTTGCTGCTGTGAACGAGCTGTAACGTGCCAGAGAGTGGCTGCTTGACAAAATGCACGTACCTAGAAGTACTGGAGGACCCCCGGGACTTTGAAAGTGGAATTTGAGCAAAGTCACTTCTTGTATGCCTCAGCTCACCCTAGCTAAGAAAAATATGCACGTGCAGTTTTAGACTGGGTGTGTATATTTTCACGGGTGCTTTCTGACACCCCGAATGTTTACACTGACAGTTGGGATCCTTCAGAGCTTGTATTCCCTCCTTCTCTCTCTTCTCCCTGTGCGGCTACTCAGTATATTGTTAGAGTGCACTGACACCTGATGTTGGAGTTCTCTGCTTTTCCATGAAATCTTCATTATGTCTCCTGCTGCGTTTCATGTTGATTTCTCAGTCTGATATTTCTCTGTCTCTGCACACGTGTTTGAACCGACACTGATGGGGATGTATCTTTCACTATGCAGAGTGGAAACTAAAACACGAACTCGTCGCTGTACCTCTCAACAGGGGTCATGCCATGACATTATCCCACAAAGAGCCAGGCTTTATTAATAGCTCTGGGATTGTCAGGGGTAACTGCATGGTTATTTTAACCTGACATAGTTATTGCCAGAGTGGAGACTGTAACCAGGGGATGAAAAGAGCGAGCGAGGGTGGGCGTGTTTTACCCACACTTTCAGAACAACATCTGTGACTGTCAAGCCCTAGAGGAACCTTTTTTTT